TCACTTGCTTCATCATCAAAATTCAGTTGACACTGAATCAAATTCTTTTTAACAAAATTTGAGAAACAAAAAGGCCTTACAAGGGAAAGCATCAATGGCGCCTTTCACCAACCATACTTTTTCAGCAAATCTCCGGTTCTCTTCCTCATCCGAGTAAAAACTACTACCACCAGAGCAATGATCCAAGGAGGAAAATTCAGGCCGGAAATGTTCAATTTTTGGACCCACTGTGGAAGATCTCTCAAATATACAGGAGATCCTGACAGACTGCTCATGAAATAGACAATAAACACATAAGAAAGTATGTGGTGTTGTGCTAATAGCAACAGTTTCTGACCATAAAAACGAAAAATGAGCGAAGACAAAACCGTAACAATGCTGTGAAATCCTTTTTTTTTAGGAATATGTGGTTGTAAAACTCAATGTCTATGATATAAATTATCAAAACCTATAAGATGAATCCTGCAGGTTCTTTACGGGAACTTTTGCCATTTTGACTTTTAGGAAAGGGGTCCTGTTTTTGTGAGACGAACGCCAAGAAACCCCAAACTGTACATTTGGATTGTCTCACAATGAGTTACTGCTTCATGGAATCTTTAAATTAACTTTGGGTAAGAGTTACTTATGTGGTCTTGAGCTACTATCTTTGGTTCTTCCTTTAGCTTTTGTTTTCTTGTGTCCCAAATATGTGGATTTTCATGTTTGTTATACAATATTTGAGTTTAATTCAGCAAATCTTCAGTTCAAATGCATTTCCCTTTCTCTCAGCTGTTTCTCATGCTTGTTCAACTTCGCCTCTAATCTCTTCTCTTCAGTATCTCTGGATTTCCTTTGGAAATATCCAAAATTACTTCAAATTTTGGTTATTTCTTTTGGGTCTTTCCATTAAATTTTCTTTTATATTTCTAAGCTAAAATAGGCATACATAACCCTTTACATCTCGACCTAAACCTCAGACTGTTATCATACGTCATCATGTGTGCAAAGAGAATTGAAATTCAAGCGCCTTCTTTAGATTAAATACAGCTATTAGGTTATTATTTACCTAACCAAATTGGAGGACAATATTTTGTGCCTTTTTTTTTGGTACAAATGATACAAGAGAAATTTAATATGACTAATGGCTTGATTAAGGGATGGAGTCTTATTTTGAAAGATCAAATTATTACTTTGATGACAAATTTTCCAACAAATGAAAAAGAATTCTTCAAGAAAAATACTGTGAAATCCTACTGTTTAGGAAAGTGTGGTTGTAAAACTCAGTGTCTATCATATAAATGATCAAAACCTATAACATGAATCCGGCAAGTTCTTTAGGTGAACTCAATTGTCAAAATCATATCCAAGCTTAGGCTGCAAACAGAATGTCATGTAAACAAAAGAACAGAAAATAAGCATGGAAATTGATGCCTCAAATTCAAAAAAGTAAATTGCTATAATTTATCTTGCCCTTAAAGGTTCTGATTGTATGGAGGAACTACCCTATTGCTAATTGAGAGTGACCTGTAGCCTAGTTCATTTATTTCAAATAGTTGGAATATCATGGCTGCAAACCATGAAAATATAAATTGCCTTAACAAAGCATTCTCAATATGAAAAATTCCGCATCAAATGTCAAACACTTCTCCATCTATTCTATCTCACACTCAAATTCAGTATCTCTTTTGACCGCATTAAAGTTACATTTATTTCTACCCAATGCAACCAAATTTTCTCGGCAACCAAACAAAAACTTACTTCGATTAATTTCACAAACTGGGTTTTCATAAAAAATAAAAATAAAAGATATAGAAATGATGTACCTTGGGCTCTCCGTCAATGTGAACTGTAGATCCATCTTTATAAGCCAGCATAGACCTGCTGTTCCTGGGGTTAAACCGGATCGGAACTCCGCGACCCGACCCGGTATTGAAAGAGTAAAGCGATTTGAAGCTACTTGTCGAGAATGTATCGGACCTCCAACTGGTTTGGTCCCAACCCCCGAGGCTCATCCTGAAAGTGTCGATCGGGCCTTTTCCTCGCCGATACAAGTAGACCTCTGAAAATGGTACTTAGGTGACAAGGGGTAAATTTAATCACACAAACAAGACACAACAACACAGCAATCTTCACACACTTTAAACCTTAACCAAATACACATATGACTAGTCAACTACTAGTCAAGAAACAATCACAACCAATAGAATACACAGAGCATGCCACAATGTACCTGCAATCCTAGAAGATTACTAGTGACAACCTAGGCACTCAGAAGGACCCGTCAATCTAGGCATCCCCTGTGCTAGCAACAACTATGGTGAAAGTGTGTGAAATCATCATTATCATGTAAACATCAAACAGCAGATAAAGATGACTAGTCAACCACCAAGAACACAAACCCAGAAAAATTACAGATATGCAAAACAGATTTTGTTCACCCAGAAACCCACCATTGGGAAAAACTGGGAGTCATCAACCGACCAGGCACTCCACTAAGTAGAAAAAGATTCTTACAAAGGAAACACAACCAAGCTCAAGAAGCACCTAGGTCTATTTAGGAATATGAGCAATACCTCCTTTGTGCAATCTTCTTCTCCAACTTAGCAAAGCTTGAAGCTCAGTTCTTCATGGCAATGACAGCTCCTTCTCCAGCTCGTTCATCCCATGGCACTAGCTTGCAAGCTCCAACACAAACCGAAACCAATTTGGATTCAAAGGAGAAAGACCAATTTCTTCAAGAAACCATACTCTTGAAGAAATCAATCTTGAATCTGACCTAGATATAAATGAGAGATGATTTAAGTAGCTAGATGCAGATTCGGGTTTCAAAAGCAGTTTTTCAAAAAGATATCAATTGGAAAAACTCATAGATGAAATATTTGGTTCTCTCTTGAGGAAGAAGAAGAGAAAGATCGTAAGCCAATCTTTCCAAAACTTCCTCCCCAAAAGAGACAACTGCCCAATGAGAAATATCATGGCCTTTACAGTCCAACGAATTCCTTAGGTCAGAAACCCACTTGGCAGCTGAGAGAGAGAAAGAAGAATAGGACAAAACAGTTTGTTATCCAGCTGGAAGCAAGGATGACTAGTCATATGAGAAACGGATGACTAGTCATCATTTTATGAAGATTGTTTAATGTAATGATATGCAATGCTTAATACCTTTGTCAACTTGCTTGAGCCACCATAGAGCAGAGATTAGAGAAGAGCACCAATAAAAGTTTTCCCTAATCTAGACTTGAGCTTGATAAATTACATTACACATCTTATTACAAAGTTGTCAAGGGAAGCCAAAAGAAAATAGTAAAAACCATACATTAACAACCTCCACCTCTGGAACCTTCGTCCTCGCGGTGTTCAGATTCGGACTTGGGTTCCGAGATGACCTATCGGATTTCGGGTCCGATTCCTCGATTTCGCCAACTCTGGGCAGAGGCCCTGCGAAGAAAAAAGAGGTCAACGCGCACAGCAATATCCAGGCTGTTTGCTTTGGTTGCTGATTGGAAATAAGCGGCTTTACCACCAAAATACTCTATTTCGCTTTTGTGATTTTTTCATAGATGTTTTTGCACTACTACGTTTCACCATTTGCGCGACGAAAGATTGCGCGACAAAGAATAAGTCGTCGCGCAAACTATACTGGCGCGACGAAAGAAAATATTCGTCGCGCAATCCACTGAAAATTTGCGCCACCAAAATTTTTCGTCGCACGAAATGTATATGCATGACAAAAAAAATTTTCGTCGCGCAAACAAAGTTAAAAAAGCGGGGGGAATTTTTTGGCGCGAAACATTTGCACGACGAGAAATATCGTCGCTAAAGGCAACATTGCGCGACGGAACATTGATTCGTCGCGCAAAAAGGACAGTACCCAGTGGGTCCCCTTATTTAGCGCGATGGGAAGATGCTTCGTCGCGTAAGAGAACGAGGGATATTTTATTTTTGGAGCCAAAATTACCTGGTTGGGATATTATTTTTTTTGCGCGACGTACGTACTCTTCGTCGCGTAAAGTTCCACGTTTGCGCGATGAATATCTTGTTTTGTGACACGGAATTTTTGTTTTGCGCGACAATATTGCACGACGAAAGGTTGCGCGACGGAAATTACCAGCGTCGCGCAAAAGTTAGATGTCGGAAGGTGTTTGCGGGACGAAAAAAAGGTTTGCGCGACGGACGATTTGGTTTTTTGCGACGGAAGTTTGCACGACGAATGCATGTGTTCGTCGCGCAAAGTCCTTCTTCTTCATATTAGAATTCTGCCATTGCAGAGGCAGAATGCAAAAACAAAGCATTCTGCCTCTGCCTCTCCCTCAACCTCTCTGCCGCTGCTGGGATTTCAATACATTGATTGGGTAAGTATTTTTCGTCATTAGTTTAAAAGTATTAATTTAAGTTCGTACTAAGGTTTTTTAATTTGTTTTCGTTAGGGATATTTGTAATTAGCGATTGGTGGAGAACGATTGAGAAAGTATTTTATTTGTTTTATATATGTTTAAAATGTTCTTGTGAAGTTATATTTATATTATGTTGTGCGTAACGTAGTACAATCTGTTGTGATGTACGAAGTTAATTGAAATTAACTTCGTGCTTTTATTTTTATGTTTAGTAACACTTAGTTTCCCGTTCGAGATTAGTTGGATTTCGTGCATGGATGCGTAATGCATGACTGCGGTCCAATTAATTCTTGAATTGTCCCATTATTTGGACAGTTTGGTAATGCATAGTGTTGTCACGTAATCTATGGCTACAGGATTAGGTTTCGATTGTGGATATTTCGTTGTCATCTCGGTACGTTCTTCGGGTGGTACATAGGTATTTATACCTATGGCCACCTCAAGAACTGTAGCGAGATGCTGGCGAAATTCATCCACGTCGAAATCTAATCTCATGTAGTCGTAGGTTACGTGGCAGGAGTATGCATTCCCGAATGGGATAGGACCCTTACCGGAGGCATAAGGTGACATTATAACTTCGTATGAAGTTGTTGTGATTGTTGTGTTGTGATTCTGGTTTCAGGAATTATGGACAGAAGGTGGATACAAAACCCGAACAGATGCGCAGACGAATACTTGGATGGAATCGAGGATTTTATTGAGTTTGCACGTAGACACAACCCGGGTGCAACTAGAATCCGTTGTCCTTGTAGGAGGTGCAACAACACGTTATGGGAGACAATTGAAAATGTTGGATTTCATTTAGTAAGGAATGGAATGATTGAGACATATAGCATTTGGAACCTTCACGGGAACAATTAGAGCATGCTTCGTCTTCAAATGCCACAAGAGTGGACAATGTTCAACCTATTGTGGATGCTAATGATGAAGTCATGGATATTATACAGGATGTTTTTCCATTTGCATCGACCAACATGAATCAAGAAGAGCAAGATGATGTGCCTACACCAATAGACAGTGCGGAGTTTGAACAATATGAGAAATTGTTAAAAAATGCCAACCAAGAGTTATACCCGGGGTGCGAGAGCTTTTCCGTTCTCACGGCCATTGTGGAGCTAATGCACGGAAAAATAAAGTATCGTATGTCGAACCTGTGTTTCGATTACTTTTTGGGGGTTTTCAAGAGAATGCTTCCGACGGACAATTTCGAAAGACCATAAACAGGCGCAGAAGGTGTTGAATGGTCTTGGATTGGGTTATGAAAAAATCCATGCTTGCAAAAACAATTGCATGTTATTCTACAAAGAGCATGAATCGTTGGATACATGTCCTATATGCAATGAGTCGAGGTTCAAGATGACATCTCAGAATAGGACGACTAAGATCCCACAAAAAGTCATGCGTTATTTGCCCCTGAAACCTAGGTTGCAGCGATTGTATATGTCGACGCATACTGCCACAGACATGAAATGGCATAAGGAAAAACGGGTAGACGATGATGTGATGCGGCATCCTGCAGATGGGGAGGCATGGAAAGAGTTCGATCAAACGTTCCCCGAGTTTGCTGCTGATCCCCGAAATGTTAGATTGGGACTTGCCACTGACGGATTCAATCCGTATGGGGTTCTAAACCAACACCACAGCACTTGGCCGATTTTCGTATTCCCATATAATTTGCCGCCTTGGAAATGCATGAAAAAAGAATACATGATGATGACTGTTTTGATAACTGAGGATCCTGGGAGGTCAATCAATGTTTACTTAAGGCCGCTGGTTGATGAGCTGAAGGATTTATGGACAAACGGTGTTCGCACGTACGATAAATCAACTGGGAAGATGTTCACTTTGCGGGCAGCAGTTATGTGGATTGTGAATGATTTCCCAGCATACACAATGGTTTTTGGGTGGAGCACAAAAAGTTATATGGCATGTCCTGTATGCAAGGAAGATGTAACTTCTGGTTGGCATGCTGGAAAAGTTTGTTACCTTGGTCATCAGAGATGGTTGCCATGGAACCATGAGTGGAGGGAAAAAGATAAAGAGTTCGACGGGAACACAGAGCGTCGCCTTAGACCCAGAGAATGGTCCGGTGATGAGATATTGGACCAGCTTAACCGGTTGGATTTTGCTCCCTTCGGGAAAACAGTTAGTCGTATCAGACCTTCTACACATATGAACTGGACGCACAAGCCTATGTTTTTTGAGCTCCCATATTGGTCGAAACTAAAATTGAGGCACAATCTAGATGTGATGCATGTTGAGAAAAATGTATTCGACACATTGGTGGGCACGATTCTAGATATCGAGGGGAAGACAAAGGACACGATCAAAGCTCGTCTTGATTTGGAAAGAATGGGCATACGAAGGGGTTTATGGATGAATAGGGACAATGATAAAGCTAGAAGGGATCTTGCATTCTTTTCTATGAAACCGAATGACAAGAAAGAGTTTCTAAAGTTTGTATCGTCAGTAAAGTTTCCCGATGGGTATGCTTCTAATATCGCACGTTGTGTGAATGTTGACGGGGGTAAATTTACTGGACTTAAAAGCCATGACTGCCATGTGTTTATGCAACGCCTACTTCCTGTTGGTATTCGACACCTATTGCCGGAAAATGTAGTGAAGCCAATCATTTTGTTGTCCAGATTTTTTTCCCAACTAACGGCAAAAACTTTGCGAAAAACGGGACATGTTTCAGTTGCGCCATGACATTGTCCAAGTCCTATGCAAGTTTGAGATGATATTTCCTCCAGCTTTCTTCACAAGTATGATGCACGTGATGGTTCACTTGCCAGAAGAGGCATTACTTGTTGGTCCTGTCAACTATCGCTGGATGTATCCAATAGAAAGGTATATAATCCTTATCGTTTGTGTATGCATCATTATCACATGCTTGCTAATTTCAATCATATCGTTTTATTTTGGCAGGCTTCTCGGAGAGCTGAAAAAAAGTGTACGCAACAGGGCGAAGCCCGAAGGATCAATCGTAGAGGCTTGGGTTCAATATGAGTCGCTTACTTTCTGCGGAATGTATTTAAAAGATGTGGAGACGGTTTTCAATCGTCCTCAGCGCAATCATGATGGAGGTATGAGAAATGAAAAACCTTCTGTTTTTGCCCAAAGCGCACGACCCTTTGGAGATCCTGGACGCGGAGAGTCGTTTTCTAGAAATGACATGGAGGTAGCGCATTGGTTCGTACTGAACAATTGTGATGAGATCATGGGATACTTATATGAGCATGAAGAGATGATGAAGCGAGAACATCCATCACATTTGGTTGCCCAGAAACACCGTGAATTGTTTCCACAATGGTTTTTGGATTCTGTAAGTTATCAGTGTTTGTTATTTGAGAAATATAAATTGTAGTTTTTAATTTTGTCAGACTAACATATGAATGGTTTTGTATAATATTAGGTGAATAAGTTGAAATCATCGAATTCCCCAACTTACAGTGATGAGTTATATAACTTGGCGTTCGGCCCGATTTGCGCTGAATTGTTCTCGGGTTGTAATGTCAACGGCGTCAAATTTTTGGCCGAAGCACGAGATGACAAGTTGTGTACGCAAAACAGCGGTGTCCATGTCCCAGGTGGAGGCGAAAGTACGGACATTGATTTCTATGGCAAACTCACAACTGTCGTGCAATTGCTTTACAAAAATCGATACCAAGTGATCATGTTTAAGTGTCGCTGGTTTGACACCAACCCAAATAGGCCGGGAAGTGTTAAAATCGATCATGGCTTACTATCTGTGAACATGAACAGAACTTGGTATGATGACGACCCTTATATTTTGGCAAACATGGCAACACAAATTGTGTATCTAGATGACCCTAAAGCCGGAAGCGGTTGGAACGTTGTTCAAAAGATGGATCACAGGAACGTGTATGCTATACCAGAACTAGACCCAACTGACAACGACGTCAACAATGTGGCTGACCAACGTTTAGAATCTTCAATGGAAAATGATGCGGAAACACTTCGAGATACTAATGTTATACAAGAGCCATTTCAAATACAAGGAGTGTCTTCAATCGAAATACCGATTCAGTCAATTACAATTGACCTCGGTGATCTTCCGCGATATGATGTTGCAGTTGGCCCGAGCAACGACGATGATGTAGTTATAGAGGAGGCGGAGGAGGAGGAGGAAGAGGATTGGGAGACCGAAAGTGATGATAGCAACGATAACGAAAGTTATTATAGTTCAGATGATGAATGATTAATTTTTTTGTAATTTTATTATGTTAGTGGACATATTTTGTGTAATGCAAATGTTTTCATATATGTACTTGTTATATCCAAACATTATATATGTGCAGAAATGAAACATTATTAAAATAAATGTAGTTATAAACCATTGGTAAATAAATATATCCAAGTAATTTGTATCATAAAGTTTAAATTTATTTTGACAAAAAACTTTTAAAAAATGAAAACCATATAACCGAAAAAATGAATACAAAGAAAATAAGATTATCAACAATCCTTCAATTCTCAAATCAAAAGAAAATAGAATAAATCATACTTTCATACAATTAATTATATGTAATGATGAATAATTCAGCTTAATAATATGTGAATGAAAATAACCTTGCGCGACGAAGGCATAATTGTCGCGCACTTTTGCGCGACGGAAAATGTACACGTCGCACATACTCTATTATTTGCGCGACAAATAATTTCGTCGCGCAAGTGCCTTTTGTGCGACGAACAACAGACCTCGTCGCGCAAACATATACACATATATATATTTCTGATATATACACACGTATATAGTTGAAATTGACGATCGAAGTAGTTCACTGTATTCACATAGGGTTAAACAGTATAGCTGTAAAAAATCATCAAAATCAAAGTCAAAATAACCGTTAAATCATGACTTTTCGTTTATAACCGTCGAAACGTTTTGTCCCGTTACTTGATCTCTGAATGTTTTTTTTTCTCATTTTCGACGTATACGATCTCGAAGTATAAACAAACATATTTGACGGCTAGATTACTGAAACTAGTTTCCTAGAATGTGTATTCCATAAAAACACAATATTCATAAAAATGAATAATTTCTTTATACATTCATTCAGTCTAACATAAGATTATGTGATGTCCTGTACTGTAAATATCTGAAATTGAAGATCGAATTACATCTCTGTATTCATATAGGGTCAAGAACCGCAGCTGTAAAAAATTTTCAAGATCGGAGTTAAAATCACCGTTGAATTGGGACAATTTGTTTAGAACCGTCGAAAAGTTTTGTCCCGTTACTCAATCTCTGAATGTTCATTCATTATGATTTTTGACGTATACGATCTTGAACTATGAAAAAAGAAGATTGCCGGTTGGATCATTGAAACTAGTTCAGGAGTTCGGGTTTAGGGCTTAGGGTACAGGTTTTAGGGTTTAGGGTACAAGGGTATGGTTTTTTCGCGACGAAATCACCTCGTATTCGTCGCGCAAAAGATCAGCGACGAACTTAAGTACCTTCGTCGCGCAAAATTATTAAAAAAATTCGCAGCCCTTCTCCGCTCCAACACTTAGTGAAATTTTTTTTGGTAAAAGCCAGATTGCGCAACGAACTTAAGTACCTTCGTCGCGCAAAATTATTTAAAAAATTCGCAGCCCTTCTCTGCTCCAACACTTAGTGAAATTTTTTTTGGCAAAAGCCAGATTGCGCGACGAACTTAAGTGCCTTCGTCGCGCAAAATTATTAAAAAAATTCGCAGCCCTTCTCCGCTCCAACACTTAGTGAAATTTTTTTTGGTAAAAGCCAGATTGCGCGACGAACTTAAGTACCTTCGTCGCGCAAAATTATTTAAAAAATTCACAGCCCTTCTCCGCTCCAACACTTAGTGAAATTTTTTTTGGCAAAGGCCAGATTGCGCGACGAACTTAAGTGCCTTCGTCGCGCAAAATTATTAAAAAAATTCGCAGCCCTTCTCCGCTCCAACACTTAGTGAAATTTTTTTTGGCAAAAGCCAGATTGCGCGACGAACTTAAGTGCCTTCGTCGCGCAAAATTATTAAAAAAATTCGCTGCCCTTCTCCGCTCCAACACTTAGTGAAATTTTTTTTGGCAAAAGCCAAATTGCGCGACGAACTTAAGTGCCTTCGTCGCGCAAAATTATTAAAAAATTCGCTGCCCTTCTCCGCTCCAACGCTTAGTGAACTTAAGTGCCTTCGTCGCGCAAAATGAACAATTGCAGCCCTTTTCTGTCCAACACTTGGCGAAATTTTGTTTGGCAAAAGCTAGAATGCGCGACGAACTTCCGTCTATTCGTCGCGCAATATCATTGCATTTATCTTCCCCGCGCAAAATCAAATCCCAAAATTTTGGGCAGCTGGACAAATTTGCGCGACGACACTAGTTTTTTTCGTCGCGCAAAGGTTATATTTTCACAACTTTGCGCGACGAAAGCATGTTTTTAAGTCGCGCAAAGGTCATATTTTTATAATCTTGCGCGACAAAAGTTCAGTTTTGCGTTGCGCAAAAGTTATTTTAATGAATTTTGCGCGACGGATTTATGTATTCGTCGCGCAAAGTCGAATAAGTTTTCTGAAAATCGCGATCTTCTCCTTTTTCCCCAGTTTCTCAAACGGAACCCTAAACCTCCCTCTCTCTCCGCCGTGACCTCAACCCCTACTCCGCCCCAATTCAGACCCTGCCGCCACCACCGTCGAACCTGGAGCTTCTCCGCCGTCGCCGTCCATCCTGCCGCCGTGATTTCCTCCGTTTAGGCCGAATCTTCGCCGCCGTTGTTCTCTCTCCTCCGGGCACCAAATCCGGCAATTGAGGTATGCTTTCTGGACTATTTTTCATGCTCTAGCTGATGGTTGTGTAGGATTTGATTGATTGTGTGCATAGGGTAGTGAATTTGAAACCCTAGGTTTCGGCCGGTTTTGAAATTGAAATTCCGGCCACTTCCGTCCGTTTTTCGGGGTAGCTCCGAGAACAAAAGTGCCTCCAATTGATGTTTTCGACCTAGGGTAGGAACCTTGGCCCTTAATTTTTAGGATTTCCCGGTGATTTTTATCGCTTAGGGCACCCACGCACTGCCGGCGCATGTGGTGGCGCGTGGGGTACTGTGGCATAGGGCATTTTGTCCCAATGCAAACATTTCATTGTCACGAGCGCGTAGGTGTGCTCGGATTGGAATTTGGTTTTCGTTTGAGTCTCGAACGGTTCGAACCTATTGTGCGATTTTAGGGTTTGATATGTTCGGACTGTTGGATCGAGCTGAAACGCACGTATGTGGTACCATGTATTTATAGGATCGTTTAGGATTCGACAGATCGTGGATCAAAGTCCCGGATACTCCGAAATCGCAAACCCTAGGTCAAACTATGATTTTAATTAGTTAGTTCAATTTTTTAATGACATTGTATGTGCTACATTGGATTAATGAAATTGTGCAGATGTCAGACTTGATTAGACGTCGTAGGGCGGTGACGGCTACACCGAGTTCGGAGCCCCCGGCTCAGCCGGTATCAGCTGCCACTGCTCTAGCACTGATGGAGCAGGACCACGTGCTAGCTGGTCCTGGGGGATCCCAGGCGGCTGCATCATCATCATCTTCCGTGGTGCAGCCTCTTAGCGCTAGGCGGCGACACCGGCCCGCTACCACCACCGACACCACATCGACTGACTGTACTGGTGCCTCGGGGGCACCTCCAGGTAATACCCTTCCACTTTCATTTTTTTGTTTTTAACATTTTTTTAATTGGGAATTTTATGGTTCAATTTGATTGTATATGTAACAATATTGTCATATCCCTTTGCAACCAAGAGGAACACCCGAGGGCCGTGTCGGCAGCTGAAGACGGCGAAGGTCACCCGGGTGACCAACAGTCGTATCAGCATCGGATATGACGAGCGCCATCGGGCTGCACCGACGGCGGACTTGCATAGCTCCTTGGCCCACGACATTGGCCACGTCGTTCGGACCCATTGCCCGATGCAATGGAAGTCTTGGAAGGTCATGCCTGACGAGATAAAGATGCAAGTTCGCGGCCAGTTGTCGGTATGTTTCCTATCTTTTAATTATTTTTCTTTCAAACTTTATATATTTCTATTACTTAATGTATGTAATCAATTTATTGCAGACGAACTACGACTTAGAGGACATCAACGAAGAGACCTTGGCGTACGTCAACAGACTCTTCGGTGAGAGGTACAAGCAGTGGAAGAGCGACTTGCACCACCATTTTCAGGCGTTTGATGATCCGCAAGTCGCTCTTCAGGAGGGTTGCCCGAAGGAGCTTGAGGGGCGGGAGGATAGTTGGGCGTGGCTCTGCGCTCATTTTCAGGCGCCCGATTATGTGGTATTTTTTTAATAATATTTGTTTAATGTTTATTTTATTTTTTTTATCTCATTATTATTTAATTTATTTATAGTTCAATTATTACGTTTTATTTTTTGTATAACAGAATAAAGCCCAAGTGAATAAGGGCAATAGAAAGAAGAAGACTCTTCTTCACCATTCCGGCTCCAGGCCCTTCTCATATAGGATGGATGCACGGCGTCGGGTAAGAATAATATAATTTATATTTAATTTTTAATACGTCATTATTATTAATTTCTTTTGTTCATACTAATATTTTCCTTCTCTTGTTCAATTAAGGGGGGGTCGAAATTCCCAGAGATCGACGTCTTTGGTGACGTTTATGTTCGACCTGGGAATGAGTTGGCCGAGTCCCTTCATGTAAGTATTATGTATTTTTAATTCTTATGTTACACTTTCAATTTATATGCATTTTTGAATTTATATTTTATGTAATGTTAAACAGACGACGATGGTGGAGAGGAGCCAGTTGGTTCTTCAAGAGTCCGCCTCCCAACTTCCTCCCGAGACTCCGATCGAGTCTGTGGATCCTCCGCATGATGCTGGATTTCAGATTTTGACGCAGACGTTGGATCAGACTCTCGGGAGGAGGCCGGGAACGTATTGTAGGGGGATGGGGAATGCCCGACAGAGGGAACCTCGACCGCGGTCATCGTCGCAGGCAAACAGTCAGGTGACTGTTTTGACATCGCGGGTTGCCGAGCTTGAGGGTCAGATGTCGGTGATTCTGCAGTCCCTCACGTGGTCCGGCATTCCAATCCCTAATTTTGGTGCGTCGACCTCCGAGCCCGTCCACCCCGAGCATCCCCAGCACACCACGGCCCCTGCAGACGCCCATACCTCCGAGCCGCATGTGGCAGATGACCAAGTAGATTTTGGAACATTATTTGATTAGTTTTTTATTTTTATAATTACTTTTACAATTTGTATACATTTCTTTTATTTTATATAATAGATGTTTTCTTTACGATTAATGTTTTTATTGTCATTTCATTTTAATTATAAAAAAAAACCAAATTTATTTTTTTACAAAATTAAAAATCAAATAATAATAAATTTTTTTTAATAATATATATATTGCTTTTGCGCGACGAAACGTAAATCGTCGCGCAAAAACATTTAAGTAACACGTCGACAAATATATTTTAATCATGCGCGACGAATAATTTCGTTGCGCAAAATGTGTATGCGCGATGAATATGATTTCGTCACGCAAAGTTCATGTATCTCGCGCGACGGAAGAGTCCGTCGCGCAGTTTTTTTGCTACGACCACTGTTTTGTCGCGCAAATATTTGTGCGACGGACATTGAGGTCGTCCCGAAATGTTTTTTTAAACGAAGTTGTTATACGTAGCGCAAACAGCGCGACAAATGACATTTGTTCGTCGCGCAAATCCTAAAATGTAGGACTCGGCCTTTGCGCGACGAAACTTCTTCACGAACTTTGCGAGACGGACTGTCCGCGACGAAACTTCTGTCGCGCATAATTATGTGCGACTAAAATCATTTTTGCGCGACGAAGACCCCTTCGTCGCGCAAAGACTAAAATGTAGTAGTGTTGTGATATTTAATACTCGTGATTAAAATAAGCTTTACAAACACCTAGAAAAATTACAAAAACTAACAAGGTTTTGTTAAAGGACTCTTGAGCGTGATTGAAAAAGGCCTCGTGTTGTGATCTTTTTTCTCATGCTTTATGGGTGTGTCTTTTTTTAGTTTTTTTTTTTGGGCAATCGTTAATCATTTAACAATATTGTAGATTATAAGATATTTTATCAAAACTAGCCTCTTGGCACACGCTCACGCATGTGCCAATTGGTTTTCTTTTTTATTTTTTATTTTATTTTTTGAATTAAGAAAAGATAATATGGGTAGTTAGGTTCCATAAAAGTAGGAGTTATTATCTGATTTTGTTTTTAATTTTTTTTTAATATGAAAAAAAGTGAATTTACCATATTATCCTCATTTAATTAATAATTTTAATTCTTAATATTTGAATTAACCAAGGGCATTTTATGGTATTTTGAATGTTTCACTATTCTCTGCCTTTTGCTTTATATATATATATAGATGACGAAATTATGTTGATAGTATGGGCCTGCATACGTATGAGTTGTCATTCTTTCTAGTTCGGTTACAAAGATTTTAGTCGTTATAATTGTCTGATATATAAATATTGTTTTGTTTCTCTATGCATAAGATATTAATCAATGTACAAGATGTTTACACCATAATCAACTGAGCATATCCAACATTAAAACGACTAGCACCAAGGCAGACATGCCCTCTCCCCCTACTGAAATACTCTAAAGGGACACACAGACAAATCCCAAGAAGGTGACTGACGTCATTACCTTCTTCCTTGCCAAAGGAAGACACTCTTTCGAAGCTGCAACCACCTGCCGAAGCTCTCAATTGTCGAACCTAATCTCCAAAGACACGTGTCACCACTATAACAACTTGCACAAAGTCCTACATCGAAACTTTGTGCAAAACTCTCATTTCCACTTCCCTATAAATGGGGAACAGTACCCGAGTAAAAGGGGTAACTATTTTCTCACATTTTTAGTTACTCTGCCAAAATTACCACATATAGCTTACTTAAGCATCGGAGAGCCTTCGACAAGCACCACATCGATGTCCGAAGCTTGACGACTGCTTCTTCCTCCTTGTCTTCTGTAGGTTCTCCCAACTCCGAAGGTCCTCGCCTTCTCCTCTGCTGAAGACTCTACACTCTTCTCTAAGTTGATCTTCCCAAAAAGAGCATCAACACAAGACATACACACCGTGTAAAAATAATGCTCAAGCATGCAGTTTCCACATCCATAAACCAAATACTCAAACATAAAATCTCAAAGTCCAATAACTCTCAAAATCTCAAACCACAACTCCATTCCCAAAAATATGCAACTCTCACCAACCCATACATATGTATACATATATATGTATATATATCTATAATATAACGTATACTTCTCTCCATACTAATGTACCGGGGAAAATAATCCAACTGGGGGATTGTTTGGCTGGTACGCAGGATTTCCGAACACTAACCCACGTCCAGGGATGAGTAGTCCAACCGGGGGACGGAACTCCATAGCTCACATGCCGGCACTACCAACGACACGTGTAGCTCACAAATCTCATAACAAGTCCTACGCGCGTAGACAGTATCATCACCCCACCGGCACTGCCAACGACATGTGTGATAATACTAAGCAATATACATACTCTTCCCATACGCCGGCACTGCCAACGACACGTATGGGAAGTGTCTCACACACCGGCACTGCCAACGACATGTGTGAGACCCGCAATCTCATGGCCTTCCCACCCCACCGGCACTGCCAACGACGTGTGTGGGAAGCCTAGTAACCAGGGAATGGTACTCACCTAACATACTCATACATCTCACAACCATCCCTCAAACTCATATCTTTCCACAATCTCACAACAACAACTCCTCGTACTCTATACATAGGCAATATAGACAGATATCCCAAAATCCATATAAACATATCCATAATACTCAAATATAGCCATACCCAAAATATATTGCCAATACGTATATGAATATCCAAATCCATCAACCCAATACTTAATAAATCACATTTACCATTTAAAAACATATGCACAAATCTTTTATCAATAAAACCATGCAAATGCTTGAAAACAAAGTCCACTTACAGGTAATCCCATGCTACCCGGCCCCGAGAGGGTCCTGCCTGCTGCGAATGATCGACCGAAGTACCTATTTCGAGATATGAACCCTTGATTAATATAATACACTTCGAAACGGGAATTCACAAATGAGAATACTTAAATCCCCAAGTTCCCGGTGCGTGTATGCCCAATAGGATATCCTAAGGTCCGGTTAGAGGTTTGGGAATCGCTTCCCATCCTAGGGTTATCGTTAATCCCACAAACTTCGAATTATTGAATCGGAACATCCGAGGCTCCGATTCACGATCCACGAATTCCTATAGGATTCTAAGAGTACCTAGATCAACATACTTCAATTTGGAAACGATCCAACGGTTAGAACCTATCGAACTCGGATAACGCACAATATGCGAAGATCCGTTCGATAGTCAAACGACATCCAAATTGAGATCCGTAAAATCCTATGCACTCGTGACAACCTAATGATCTCATCAGGACGAAAAGCAACTTCACCAGCCTTGCCCACGCGCCGGCAGCGCGTGGGTGTGTAGAGAAATTTCCGGCGACGGAAAATCTCCACACCAACACTCACCCTTCATACCCTAGCTTCTTCTCAAGGTCAGGATCACTTTATTCAACTACCACGAGGTCCAATTCGCACGGGAACTAGCCGGAACTTCAAATTGAAAACCGGCCAAAACCTAGGTTTCCAATTTGGTTCCCAAACTCAAAATCGATCCAAACCTAAGCAACAGTCAGCTAGGACACGTAAAAAGGAGAAGAAACCTCACCTGGTTCACTGGAAATGGACGGCGAAGACGGCGGTGCAATAGCGCGAAAACCTCCGGTTTGAACCAGTCAATATCGTGGCCGGACTTCGAGTTTTCCAGTCGGGATAACAGGTGGGTTTTGATTGGGACTTCACGACGAGTCGAACGGGACCGGTCTCGAGGGCGGTCGTGGACTGTGGCGGCGGCGGCACGATGGTTTCCGTTCGGTTTGCACAGTGACGGAGGAGAGCTATCCCACGCAGAGGGAGGAGACGCGGGAGAGAGAGAGAGAGAGAGAGAGAGAGAGAGAGGGGTAAAAGTGAAAAATCTGATTTTACCCCAAACTCTTTTCAAATTAATTACGATTTTGCCACCCAGCCTATTTTGATTGCCAAAACTTCATTAAATCTCCGATTCAAGCCTGCCGCAAGTCTACAGATTCGTCTCAGTACCACCTACGCAACCAAACCACTCGTGGTCCCAAAATCCTTCCGGATAAGAAAATGACCAAAATTACCCTTAACCCAAGGGTAAATTCATAATTCTCTTAATTTAATTAAAATAGGAATAAATTTGGAGTCGGGGTGTTACAATTGGGTCGGGCTACCCACTTCAACTCGTAGGCTGTGAGCCAAATGAAGAAAAAGAGGGACAGAGTATGGGGAGGTGGTGAGGAGAGGGTGTGGTGGAGATGGGTGGCACTAATGAGATGGTGGGGAAGATGGAGGTGCTGGGCTTTGGGGAAAAAGGTGGGGATGACTTGAGATAGGTTTTTATTTATTTATTTATTTTTTATTTTATTTATTATTATTATATATTTAATAAATTAATATAATAATTTTTTACAAGTTATTAAGAAAGCTGTAAAAAAAATTAATAAATTAAAGTAAAGTCAATACATCAAATAAGGGTAAATATGGAAAACAAAAGTTAGGTTGTTCCCCTAGCTATAAACATATCATCCTTACTATTTACATACAAGGCATATCATATTGCTATATAATATTACTATGATGTCCTTAACAATGAAAACATGTTATAAATGCGCATAAAGGAAAATGAGGGTGTCTTTGGGTGCAAAAAGTCTCATTTGCAAATGAGCAAGACAAGTTATTATCTTAAAAAAATTTCTAGAAATAAAAGCATACATTATGATAAAATCGTAGAGAGTTAAAATCATGAGTGTTTATTAAGTGATTATATTTCTTAATTGAGCAAACAAATTAAATATAAGATGATTATAGGGTGTTTATTAAAAGACTATCTGAAATATTTTTCCACAAAATTAATAATGACTAACTTTTCCTAATTGAGCAAACAAATAGGGTGTTAGTCTCCCTTAATTTTTTTTTAAATAATAACTAACTTTTCCTCATCTCTATTGAATTAATTCCTATGAAAAGAAAAGAACATCCTTCTGAAAAAATAAGAGTATCCATTAATAACCTTCTTTATTAATAATAACTTACAAGTATTCATAGCAAATAAATTTGGAGCTGTCTCTTCATATGTCGAATTTTGATTCTATTAAAATATAAAAATCTGCAAAAAGAGTCACAAATATAAATATGCGATTTCAATTTACAGTTTAACTTGGGATCTGAATCATATAATTAGGTCAAAAATTTCCAATAAGTAAATGATAATTGAGTGACGATAATTCAACAGAACAAAAAAAAAGCTTGATATTTTGATCAAAATGATATGTATTTATGGGCAAAAAAATAGGATATGTATTAGTTACTATGATAGGAGTGACGATACTACTCACTGGTACTTTTACACGCAATTGGCTTACAACAACTGGTGGCAGAAAAGACATGTTTTAAAAAAAAATTCAAATACCATAAATCTAAAGCTACTTCAGTATAATCAAGTAGTTTCCATATTTCTGAATAAAAAAAACGTGTTATTGAGAGAAAAAGGGAAGCACAATGATGTGGAATAGGATGTATAAGCCCGACCTGTTTGACACGTCTACCATACACAAAGAAATAAGACTTAATAATGATATGAAGGAAGCATAACGCTCATCATTCCAATTTAAAATTAAGAAACAAGTTTTTTTTATTGAAAAATTTAAGAAACAAGTTAATTAAACATCTCTAATTCATCATTAATATATATATCATGTTGCATCAGTGAAACGATCAACCATCGTGGTTTCATGAATATTTAACACGAGGTTCAAAATCCATGAAATAGAAAAAGAAAAGTTATTTAAACTCTCAAAATATGAAGAAAAATATGATTTCCCAACCTCAAGCCTCATTTCCTATGAATCAAACACATCTTATGGGGGAGGGGTTGGAGGTCAATTATAAGAATCATAGCTAGGCTATTAAATAAATACATTATGGAAAAGATGCAAAAGATTAAATACACTAAAAGCATCTCCAATTGATATGTCAAATTGCCATATGGACATGAAATGACAAAAATTGAAAGTTAAAGTTGCTCCAACCAAATAGTCAAATCCTACATGGATTTGAAGGCTAGAAGAGATATGTCCCAGCACTCTGTTTTCAGCCATACATTTATTATTAGATTCATCACTTTGTTATAAGAATCCGTTTGGGTCCACTAGTTTAATTGTAATTTGTGTGAATGATATATGCATTTTGAATGTTTAATAATGTAGCATTATATGTTAAATTATATACTTATTTTTTTTGGTGTCAAATATATTTAATTTATAAAAGAAACAAAGAAACAGAGGAGGAAACAGAGGAAGTTGACTTAAAATTTAAAAAAGGAAGAGAAAAAGGTTTAAATTTTAGAGTATTTTGATTTTTTCTTTTTGGGTTAAATCAACGTAATTAACTTTAATTTTGGAAGCTTTTTTTTTATATTAACTTTTTCTATTAAATGTAGGGGCAAAATAGTATTTTTGTATTATTTTTAATTTCTACCATCTAAATATTCCAACAAAGCCATGGACAACTTCCACCCGACACCGAGTCAATTAACCCACCAACCCGGAGACAACTAATGGTGCTCCCACAATGACACCCCCACCCTCCATGCGATGGCGAGGATAGGAAGAAGGTTTTTTAGTTTTTATTTTTATTTTTTGAGTGAAAGGAATATTTAGATAGTGGAAAATAATATAATACAAAAATATCATTTTGCCTATGCATTTAACATAAAAGATAACAAAATTTAACCCTTCAGTTTTTTAGTTTTGTTTGTTTTTGAAACCTATATGGAGCCGAATTATGTTTTATCCAATGGATTAGTACTTATTCCCCTGTTTTAATTCTTTTCCTTTTGGCTATTTTTCAGACCATGAGCTTTGGGATGAGAAACTTTAGGTACATTGAAGAAATTAAAGAAGCACTGGAGAGGGAGTGCCCTGGAGCTGTTTCTTGTTCAGATATTCTTGTCTTGTCAGCTAGGGAGGGTGTTGTTCGGGTAATTTCCTTCACCTTTCTTTTTCTTTGACCCGACTCTCTTGTGTAAAACAGAGATCTCAAGTTGGTACAATTTGGTTTTGATCTTTATTTAATAATTTGACAACGACTCTAGTTTAATAATTTGACAACGACAAAATTTCCAATTTGATATGAAGGATTTTTTTTACAGATTTTAATCCATTTTGGACCACCAAAGCTGTTGTTACCTTTTTTTTCTTGTGATTTTAGTACATTTTTCATACTTTGTTGGTCTGTAAAACAGAGATATGAAGTTGGTATATGATGAGTCGATTTTATATTATATATTTAACCTCATTCTTAGTATATTTTGGTTAATATGTTGGAAGAATTTTGATACTTTGAATTATATTTCCAATATAGGACTTTCGACTTCCTCTGGAGCAAAACATAATCAAATGGACGAATTTTGGAGTAATTCCAGTTGGAGGACGTACGTGAGTCACTTAGCTTGATCGTATCAAAATATCAGACTTTTCCACCAAGCGATGATTTCCTGGCGAATAAATGAAGGAGCAGTGCGCTATGCTGGAATAGTGACGTTTTGGGCTTTTATTGCGATTTTGGAGCCCAAGATGACCTCGGATGGGTTCGTGGCCTTCTGGAGAAGTGTTCGGAATATTTTTATCTTTAAAACGAGCTATCTTGGGCCAGATTTGGGGGAGATTTGAGACTAAAACGTGGCTGGGCAGATTATGGGCAGATTCTCCTAATCCAATTTGGACTTTATTTCCTAGTCTTATTCTACTTTAACTTAGTTTCCTTGTGGGATTGGGTAGCTAGGTTTTAGGAGGTATTTAAGCTCCTTTTCACAGCAATTTAGGGATCTCCTTTTAGAACTTCTTTTTGGCTTTGGGAGCAATTGCTAGGGTTTTGGATTTTCGCTACTTTCAGGTGTTTTCATTCTTACTCATTCGAATGATATTTTATTGGATTTCAATTATGATTATGTGTAACTAATTCCTTTTGCTAGGGTGAGGCCGTAAGCCTTAGCATGAATATGTAGTTTTATTAATTTGCTTATGAATGGATGCATGTTTGCTTTGAATTATTAATCACTGTGTTTAAAACTATCTATCTATTTTAATGATTGATCACCATTAGGATATGTAGACAAGTAATTTGATGCAATTTCTGTTGGAACATCACCCTGAAATTGAAGAGGGCTTCTTGTGATTAGTAATTGTAAGTTCACTTAAGGCGAACATCACGCTCTTAAGGGTTGCATGGTTTTTCAAAGGGCTTTCACAAAACTTAATGAGTCTTGCATGTTTATATTTGATCTGAACATCACAGACGGATTGCATGTTAGATATACGTTTTCGCTTGAACATCACAAGGAAAATATGCATTAGGAAAACCTAACCTTCAAAGCATTTATGTGGAATTTCATAAGTAATTGATAGAATTGCATAGGATTGCGACGGTGTTGGCTAAACCCTAGTTTTCTCTAAATTGTTAGTCTTTAAAAAGAAATCGTTTTTCTTCTTTGCTGTTATTATTTCCCAACTTTCAGATTTCTTTTACTGTTAGCTTAATCTTTTCAAATTCATAAACTTCAAATCTTTGATAAAATCTATTTTAGTTATTAATTAAGAGTTAGTTTAATTACAGATTAGTCAAACAATCTTTGGGGACAACGACCTTGCATGAGCATTTATACTACAATTACCTTGTATTCTTGCAAGTATTTTCAGTGATTTTAACCCTGTTTGCGCAGGTACTAAAAATCCTATCAGTATACCTAGTTATATTTCAACTTAGTTACTGGAGTAAGTTTTGTCTGTTACTTGATCAGATCCATTTAAGTTTTTTCTCTTTTGGGCTTATGGATTTGTATTTCGGACTACGTTTTGCTTTTGTAGCAGATAAACGCATGGGATAACAGACAAAATCCTTTTCTCAAATATCGATTTACTGAGTTTTGGATTTACTTGAGTTTGAGTATCTTAAATATTGGTCAAAATATCGATCTAATTGCATTTATTAATGTCACATTTTGCTTGTAGTAATTTGTGGAAAACTTGATCATATTTGCACTGTAGTCTTTTAGGAAAACACAGAGAGAAAAGAAAGGAAGGCAGAGAAGGTTGCAGTGAGTCCATGGGTAGGAAATTTTGTTGACTTTGCAGTGCGTTTTGGCTCACACTTTCTCTATTGCCGCTGAGCTTTGCAGGATGTTGTGGTAATTAGCAAGGCAGACAAGGTTGGGGAACCCACTGTGATCACTGCAAATTGCCCTAACAAAACTGGGTTGGGCTGTGATTTGTGCAGAGTTATATTGCTCTTTGGGCGAAGCATTTGCAGAGGTGGTAAAAGCCATAGCTAGCAAGCAAGAGAGAGATGAAAAAACTTCCTGATGTTTTCTTTTTTCTTAAATGAATGTCACTGGTATACTGTAACGTTTTCCTTAAATTTTCAGTTTTTAAATGTTCGCCGATACAAATCATGCTTACTTCGCTGCTAGAAGTTGCTATTTTCCATGTGCTGGCTCAAATAATGGATCATTTGAATATTCATTTCGGAGCAGAGAAGCAAAGCAGCTTAAACTGGGTCATGTTTCAACAATTATTCCTGGCCAGCGTACGGTAAGTTTGCATTTTCATTCTCTTTAATTTCTGTCGTAAAATTCCTTTAAATAATTTATCTCTTTACTCTTCTTTTGGTATTCTGTATGTGTCTGGGGATTTTTAGCACATTGAGGTGAGCAAGCATGTGAAAGGAAGGCCTCTGGATAATTTGGAGTTCATGTGATGGATGAAGCATTATTGTGATTCCGTCAATGGAGGCATCATGAACAAGTAAGTTTTTCCACGGGTATCAGTCTTCACCTCAAAAAGATATGTGTGGATTAAATTATAATGATATCCTTTGCTATTATCTAGTTATAATGATAGCACATAAACATAGAGAAATATTCTCCTTAAAACTTAATTTGAGATCTTCTAGGATGCTGTTATAACAGTTTATAGTTAAGAATTAGATAAGTAGCGAACATGAATCATTCACCTCTAAAGATCTTTGCAACTGGCTGTGTTGTTTAGATCAATACCTTATCCATAACCTTGCAGTGTCCCCAACTTTTCATCGCTCTAAGTGTCTCAAACTTTTCATCACACTACAACGCCTCTGCTTTTCCATCGTCATACAATGTCCCCACCTTTCGGTCACCTTACAAGGTCCCTCACCTTTCCATTTAGAATGTTTGTCTTTCTGCTATTATTGCTGCATGCTGTTATTTTCAGATTCTGGAGCTTGCTATGAGATACATTTATGACCCATTTAAACATGATGTTTTATCAATTTTTTCCATTTCCTTTTTACTTGCAGACATTTCCAAGGCATCCTGGAGGCTGTTTCAGAGTCTGATCAAAGAGGTGTTTGTGCATGCTGAATTTATTTGAGCAATTCACCTCTAATGCTGGGCTGCCTAAATTTTTCAGTTTTTATGCTCCCGATTCATAGCCATTGTTTGTACGGGCTGTATGCTAAGTTATTTCTGTTTAGCCATGCTTTGACTCTTGCCATTTTGAATTTGAGGAACGTAGTCCTGTTTTTTGTCAGATGAACTCCAAGAAACCTCAAACAGTGGGAACCCCATTTTGGATTGTCTCACCATGAGTTATTGCTTCTACTTTCGAAACGGAATCGATGCTTCTAGTTTTGACTTGTGAGAATCAACTTCATGGAATCTTTAAATTAACTTTTGGGTAAGAGTTACTTATGTGGTCTTAAGCTACTATCTTTGGTTCTTCCTTTAGCTTTTGTTTTCTTGTGTCCCAAGTATGTGGATTTTCATGTTTATTATACAATATTCGAGTTTAATTCAGCAAATCTTCAGCTCAAATGCATTGTCATCTCCCTTTCTCTCAGCTGTTTCTCATGCTTGTCCAAAATTACTTCACATTTTGGTTTTTCTTCTTTTGGGTCTTACCAGCAAATTTTCTTTTATATTTGTAAGCTGAAATTGGCATACCCCTTTATATCTCAAACTAAACCTCAGACTGTTATCGTAAGTCATCATGTGTGCAAAACTTCGAATGAATGTATGAGTTGCGCCACTATGAAGAGTCGCGCTACTAACATCTGGAAAGAGAATTTGAACTTCAGGCATCCTCTTTAGGTTAAATACAGCTATAAGATTATTATTTACCTAACCAAATTGGAGGACAATATTTTGTGCTTTTTATTTTTATTTTTTATATATAAGTGATATGGTGGAAGGGAAATTGAATGCAAGACTTCTAGTGTAGGGATAATGCTCTTGACCAACTGTAAGGTTATTATTTAATAGATTATATTGAGAAGAAATTTAATATATGACTAATAGCTTGATTAAGGCCCTGAGTGTTATTTTGAAAGATCAAATCATTACTATGATGCGAAATTTTCCAACATATGGTAAAGAGGGGAAGGTGAAACCTGATGCCATTGGGACATGATCCTCTACATTAGTACGGCGGTGGGGATTTGATGCCTAATTACAATCCTGCATAATACGAAGGGATTCAATAAAGTTATGGACAGAAGGATAGCCGATGGGCTGTGATAAGACTGGAATATGCAGAAAATGTAAATTTTGTGGGCCCAACATAGAACCCCAAGCCAAGCAATCTAACAAACACACGCAGTCACACAAGACAGGGTGGATCTAAGCTCTCTAGTGTGGTTAAGTGTCTCCTTATAACTCCAGTAAGGCTTTCTCGCTATTAACGTTGGCCTATTGTAAATTTGAATTTGCCAAAAGGTTTGGCAAAAAAACAAAAAACAAAAATAAAAAATTGCGAAAGGGAAATTCCTTGATGCTTTAACCAAATGTCGATATTATTAATTGATCAATTTACCAAGAAAGCAACCATTGAAATAATTGATCCGACAGTCAAAAGAACTTGTCCGAAACTCCTTCCTCTTTATTGAAAAGCAAAAGAAATCGTGTGCTCTCACTACTGTAACTACACGTTTCCAACTTTACTCTCTCCTCTCTCTCTCTGCTTGCCACTACTTATATATATATATATATATATATATATATATCTCTCTCTCTCTCTGTATCTCTTTCCTAAGGCTGTTAGCTTTGCTTCTTCTTGTTGGTTTCTGGGCTGATCTTGAGAAGTATTTTTTTCCTTGTAAGTAGGGCTGGCAATGGGTTGGGTCGTGTCGGGATATTAAACGTGTCAAGAATGCTCAACCCGAACCCAACCCATTTAATAAACGTGTCATGTCGAGTTCGGGTTGTCTTTTATCGTGCGGGTTTTGAGTCGTGTAACGGGTTGATAAATAATAACATGCATGTCACAAAAGTCACAACTGAAAAAATTTAAATAAAAAAAAAGGAGAGAGGAGAGAAGAGAGAAGGAAAGGAAAGAAAAAAAAAGGATAGAGAGAGGAGAGAAGAGAGAAGGAAAAGAAAAAAAAATATATATATATATACACAGAGAGAGAGAGAGAGAGAGAGAGAGAGAAGAGAGAAGGAAAGAAATAAAAATAAAAAAGAGAGGAGAGAAAACTAACGAGAATGAAAAGAAAGAAAAAAAATAAGAGAGGAGAGAAAACTAAAGAGAAGGAAAAGAAAGTAAAAAAGAGAGGAGAAAAGAGAGAAGGAAAAGAAATTAAAAAAGGGAGATGAGAAGATAGACGGAAAATAAAGAAAAAGAAAAGAAGAAAAAGAAACATTATAAATATCAAAAGGCATAGTATATAATCACAAAGTTGTATTTAGCATGGTGGATAAGGTGTTGGAGAGTAATGAGGGTGGTGGTGGGGGTTTGAAACCTCAGATGTGTGTTTTCAAGTCTCCATTCCTCTACATTTTTTTGCGGGTTGGCGTGTCTTACACGAGTTAGCGGGTTGACCCGAAACCCACCCGTTTAATAAACGGGTCAAAACGGGTTGACCCGAAAATTACCCAATTATTAATCGTGCGGGTTCGAGTCGTGTTTTTTCCGTGCGGGTTTCGAGTCGTGTAGGAAATGTAGAATTGTAAATTGTGAGTCTGATTTCTTTTAAGCCTAGAGTGTTAATTGTGTATTCACTTAGTCCTAGAGAATGACAAGTGTAAGGCTACAAACATGTAAAGACTGAAATAGCCAAGAGCTAGAATTAAGACAGATGGATGGTTGAGATTCACTAATGCTTGTGTGAATCCAACTCACTGATTTCTTACATAGAGAGAATATACAAAAGTCTTACTCACTGATTTCTTACATAGAGAGAATATACAAAGTCTTACTCACTGATTTCGTGAGCAAGCAGAGCTGTTATTCAAAACACATTCTTCATCTTTCTTCTTTTCTCTCTGACAGACCTCTACACAAAAACCCAACTGAAATAGCAAAACACTAACATGGCCTCAAAGCCAGGTTGGATCAATTGAATCTGGGCGTTTTTCAAATCTGTGAAATCAAGCTGAATCGGTGCTCACTCAAGCTCGTGGCGATCGATTGGAGCTAATTTGATATCTGAAACGAGTTGGTTGTGGTTATCTGAGATTAGCAATGTCTGGATCTGGAGGTTCAAAAGTAAGAACTCCGATCTTCTCCGATGAGAACTATGAGTTCTGGAGAATCAAGATGATAACCATCTTCAAGTCATATGGGTTGTGGGCTCTGGTGGAGAAAAGAATTACGATTCCAGAATCGAAGAAGGAGAAGGCAGCTGAGGAAACATCTACAGAGGAAGATGATGAGAAGATGGCTGTGATTCTTATGAAGGATGCAAAAGCTTTAGGGATTATTCAAAACTCTGTCTCTGATCAGATCTTCCCTCGCATTGCTAATGCTGATTCAGCTAAAATGGCATGGAATATACTATATGGAGAATATCATGGTGGTGACCATGTCTGGTCTGTAAAGCTTCAAAACCTTAGACGTGAGTTTGAGTATACTATGCATGAAAATGAATCTCTGTCTGTATATCTTACTCGTTTGAATGAGCTGATTAATCAAATGAAAACGTTTGGTGAATTTCTATCTAATGAAAGGCTTGTTCAGAAGGTTCTAATTAGCTTAAATAAGGTTTATGATCCTATTTGTCTGATGATTGAGAATACAAAGAGTCTGGAAACAGTAGATTTGCAGGAAGTCATTGCCATTCTAAAGAGTCAAGAGCAACGATTTGAGCTGCATAATACTGATACCGTTAAGAAGGCATTTGCCTCATTTTCCGTGAATTCCAAAAGCCAGAACAAGGGAGGATATCAATCTGGTCAGTCTAAGTCTCAGAAGAATTGGAATCCAAAAGGCAAACCGTGGGAATCAAACTCCAAGCCTCAACACACCAATTTTGCATAGAACTCATCATCAACAGTGGGTCAAGAAGGCTCAAAACCACAGTGCAAAGTGTGTTCTAAATTCCACTTTGGTGAATGCAGATACAAGGGAAAGCCTAAGTGTTACAATGGTGATAAATTTGGGCATTTGGCTAGGGAGTGTACTGCAAGCAAAAATGTGCAGAAAGAAAACTGTGCAAATCAAATGGAAGTGACTGGAAACCTATTCTATGCCAATAGTACCATTGCTGCCACAAATGTTATTGGAGAATGGTATATAGATAGTGGGTGTAGCAACCACATGACTGGAAATGGGAGCTTGCTGACAGATCTTAGAACAAATGTGGTAGGCAAGGTGCAAATGCCAAATGGTGAGCTGGTGAATGTAGCTGGAATGGGCACATTGGCAATTGATACTACCAAAGGCAGAAAGTATATCAAGGAAGTGATGTATCTTCCCGGTTTGAAGGAGAATTTACTAAGTGTGGGCCAAATGGATGAACATGGTTACTATCTAGTATTTGGAGGAAAGGTGTGCAGCATCTTTGAAGGTCCTTCACTAGAGTGTCTTGTAATCAAAGTGGAGATTAAAAGGAATAGGTGTTATCCCTTGGCACTATTACCTAATGATCATATTGCACTAAAGGCAAGTGTATCTAATTCCACTTGGACATGGCACAAAAGGTTGGGTCATTTACATCTAAAAGGACTAAGTCAACTCAAAGAGAAGGATATGGTGCATGGACTGCTATTCATGGAAAAGGTTGATGGAGTTTGTGATGGATGTCAGTTTGGAAAGCAGCATCGGGAATGGTTTCCTAAGAACCAAGCATGGAGAGTAAGCAATCCTCTTGAGCTAGTTCATGTACATTTGTGTAGACCTATGCAAAATGAATCCATTGCTGGAAACAGGTACTTCATGCTCCTTATAGATGATTTTTCAAGAATGGTTTGGGTCTATTTTCTCAGATACAAATATGATGCACTGAATTGCTTTCGAAAATTCAAGTCAATGGTAGAATTGCAAAGTGGTTATAAGGTGAAGTGCTTGAGAAGTGATAGAGGAGGAGAGTTCACATCTAGTGAATTCAACAAGCTATGTGAGGATGAAGGGATCCAAAGACAACTCTCTATGGCCTACACTCCACAACAAAATGGAGTGGTGGAGAGGAAAAATAGGACTGGTGGAAATGGCAAAAGCAATGCTTCATGAGAAAGGATTGCCTTACTATCTGTGGGCAGAAGCTGTACATACAGCTATTTACTTACTAAATAGGTGCCCTACTAGAGCACTTGGAGATAAAACACCATTTGAGGCATATAGTGGGAGAAAACCAGGTCTGGCTCATCTCAAAATATTTGGCTGTTTGTGTTATGTACACATACCAAGTGAAGTGAGGCAGAAGTTAGATGCTAAAAGCACCAAGGGTATTTTTGTGGGATATGCAATCTGCGAAAAAGGTTATAGAGTGTATGATCTTGCTACTAAGAAGATTATACTCTCAAGGGATGTTGTGTTTGATGAGAATGCAGCTTGGGATTGGAAACAAATGTCTTATAAACAAGGAAGTGTGATCAATCATGAAGAACAACCTGATCTGCCAAATGATTCATCACAAGTGACACCTTCTAGAGGTTATGATCACCCTCAATCTCCAAGAACAAGTTATATAAGGAGCAGCATGAGAAATACTCAAGCTTATGATCACACTCCATTAAAATGGAGAAATTTGGATGATGTTCTAGCTCAATGCAATCTTTGCATTATGGAATCAGAAAAATTTGATAAAGCTGCTAAAGATGAGTCTTGGATGAAAGCAATGAAGGATGAATTGTCAATGACTGAGAAGAATTCAACATGGGAGCTAGTGGATAGACCAGCTGATAAACCTATAATTGGAGTTAAGTGGGTGTTCAAAACTAAGCTAAACCTTGATGGATCAGTACAGAAGAACAAGGCACGGCTGGTTGCCAAAGGTTATGCTCAAAAACCAGGTATTGACTACAATGAGACCTTTGCACTAGTGGCTAGACTTGATACAATCCGCACACTAGTTGCTTTGGCAGCACAAAAGAATTGGAAATTGTATCAGCTAGATGTCAAATCTGCTTTTCTAAATGGTGTCTTGGAAGAGGAGGTGTATGTAGATCAACCGGATGGTTTTGTGGTCAAAGGGAGTGAAGATAAGGTGTACAAGCTTCATAAAGCTCTCTATGGCCTAAAACAGGCACCAAGAGCTTGGTACGATGAAATTGACACATACTTTGCTCAATGTGGATTTACCAAGAGTCAAAGTGAGGCCACTCTCTATACCAAAACCAGAGGAGAAGCAGAAATTCTAACAGTGTCCATTTATGTAGATGACATTGTTTATACAGGGAGTTCTCAGTCAATGTTAGAGGAGTTCAAGCAAGACTTGATGGTGAAATATGAAATGACAGACTTGGGGCTCTTACATCATTTCTTAGGAATGGGAGTCATTCAAACTCACACTAGCATTTTCCTTCACCAAAAGAATATGCAGCAGCTTTGGTGAGCAAGTTTGGCCTACATGAATGCAAACCAGTCTCTATACCTTTGGTTACAACTGAGAGGTTAAGCAAAGAAGATGGAAGTGGTCTAGCAAATGAAGAGCAATATAGGAAGATTGTGGGAAGCTTGCTATACCTCACGGCTACAAGACCCGATATACTGTATGCATCTAGTCTACTTGCTAGATTTATGCATTGTCCTACTAATAAGCATTATGGGATTGCTAAAAGAGTTCTCAGGTATATTCAGGGGACACTTGATTATGGGCTGGAGTATGTGAAAGGAAGGAATGCAATGTTAATTGGCTACTGTGACAGTGACTGGAGTGGCTCAGTGAATGACAGTAAGAGCACTTCAGGGTATGCTTTCTCTTTTGGCAGTGGTGTTTTTGCTTGGGCATCAGTCAAACAGAATAGTGTTGCTCTTTCTACGGCAGAGGCAGAATACATCAGTGCTTCAGAAGCAACTGCACAGGCAATTTGGCTCAGATTTGTTTTGGAAGACTTTGGTGAATTTCAAGCTGAAGCTACACCACTACATTGTGACAACACAGCTGCTATTGCTATCACAAAGAACCCTGTGTTTCACTAGAAAACTAAGCACATTGATCGAAGGTATCACTTCATCAAAGATGCCTTGCAAGAAGGAATCATTAATTTGATTTACTGTCCTACAAATGAGCAGCTGGCAGATATCTTCACAAAGTCATTGGCTAAAGATCGATTCTGCTATCTCAGAGACAAGCTTGGTGTGAAATCAGCTCAAAACTTAAAGGGGAGTGTAGAATTGTAAGTTGTGAGTCTGATTTCTTTTAAGCCTAGAGTGTTAATTGTGTATTCACTTAGTCCTAGAGAACGACAAGTGTAAGGCTACAAACATGTAAAGACTGAAATAGCCAAGAGCTAGAATTAAGACAGATGGATGGCTAAGATTCACTGATGCTTGTGTGAATCTAGCTCACTGATTTCTTACATAAAGAGAATATACAAAAGTCTTACTCACTGATTTCGTGAGCAAGCACAGCTGTTATTCAAAACACATTCTTCATCTTTCTTCTTTTCTCTCTAACAGACCTCTACACAAAAACCCAGCTGAAATAGCAAAACACTAACAGGAAATTGCCACCCCTACTTGTAAGTTTCTGGTTGGCTTTCTGGTCTTGTGCTTTGTAATTTGTCTTAATTTTTTATTGTCTTATTTGCACAATATGCCTCCTTTTTCCACACCTCTCACATTTGTCAACAACATCTACTACCCTACCTAACCAATATTCATCCCTTTCTCTCTCTTCCTATTTCCTCACAGACACTCTCTCTTTGTCATTGTTTTCTTTTTCTGATCTTTATTCCCTCTCCACTACTCCGAGTCTACTCTCTTTCGGTGGCCTCCCTTACTTTTGCGCTATCTTCTCATCTCTCTTTCTTTTATTTATCTGCCCTTCAATCACGGCATTATTTTCTCTCCTTTTTCGGTTCCCGCACCTCCTTTTCTTCCACTAGTTTCATTTTAAAATTTGCCACATGCCTTTCCCATGCTTGTACCTTTTAATATCTTTAGTTTCTTCCTCTCTGATCTACCGATGTGGTTTCGTCTACTGCTATGTAGCCCGCCTTTTCCCATCCTCTCTATTTCTCCTCTTTCTTTTGCCAAGATTGGCTTGCACCACATCTTTCAGCTGATCAGTCGGCTCCTCCTCAATGGAACTACGATGTGTTTTTGAGTTTCAGGGGTGTAGACACTCGAAATGGCATTTTATCCCATTTATACGACGAATTGCTGAACAGGTGCATCAAAACATTCATGGATGATCCAAAGCTTGAAAGAGGGACAACTATTTCTTCTGAGCTCTTCAAAGCAATCCAAGAATCGATGCTTGCAATCAATGTTCTCTCGCCAAACTATGCTTCTTCTTCCTGGTGCTTGGATGAACTTACAAAGATTCTCCAATGCATGAAATCCAACGGCACATTTCTGCCTGTGTTTTATAATGTGGATCCCTCCGATGTGCGAAAACAAAGCGGCAGTTATGCAAGCGCGTTCGCTAAGCATGAGAAAAGATTTAGGGAAGACATAGAAAAGGTGAAGCGCTGGAGAGCTGCTTTAACAGAAGTTGCCAATTTATCTGGGTTGGATTCAAAGAATCAGTAAGCATGCAACTAATAACCATACACAGCTGTCCATCACAACCATTGATGCAGCACCACAAAGCACCATTCAAAATGAAGCCTCAAGATTGAATCGTACATGCCAGCATGCACCAGCTAGCAAAGACCAAATATGACTCAACATATGCTCAGCATATTCTCCTCCCAAACGGTTACCTTGGCTGGTCCTTATCTATTAGTCCCTCTATTCTATTCTAGAATATTTGTAAAAGCTGTCTATAAAAGCATTCATTTATTCACTGTGTAATATATAGAGCAAAAATATATAATACAAAATCTTCTTTATTGTCTTCTCTGCCTCGTCTTTATCTCTGCATTCCTTTTCTCTTTATGGTATCAGGCCTCTCTCCTACCTCACGGTACCCCTATTAATATGTCTACCTCAAACAACTTTCAAAATCCATTTTCTGAAACTGTCACCCCTACCTCTGACCTCTCTTCCTCATCCTTTCCTACTGCGTCTACCCATAATGTTCCCAATCTCATGCCAATCAAGCTTCACCGAGACAATTACATGCTTTGGAAAGAACTTTTCATTCCTGTATTGCAAAACTATGATATGCTTAGCATTCTTGATGGCTCAGCTCCTGCTCCCCCACGCTTTCTTCCTCTCCCTAACCTCTCTCTCTCCACCACAGAAAATCCTGCCTTTACCCTTTGGACAAAAAAGGACCGTACCTGCAAAATTTGGCTTCATGCTTCTTTGTCTGGAAGCATTCTGCCCTATGCTGTTGGTTGCCCCACTGCTAGAGACCTATGGCTCACTCTAGAAAAAAGGTTTGCCAACCTCACACGCTCTCATGTCCTCCAACTTAAATCACGCCTTCAGACTCTTAAGAAAGGCTCTGCCTCCATGCTTGACTATCTCCAATCCCTCAAACACATTGCTGATAGTCTTGCTGCTGCTGGTGCTCCTTTGGACACCTCTGACTTTCTTGCTCATGCTCTCTCTGGTTTGCCCTCTGATTACGATGCCTTTGCCACCTCTATCCGAGTTCGCTCTGACCCCATTCAACCAGAAGAACTTCATGGTCTCCTCCTCAGTGAGGAAATTGCTGTTGAAAATCGCCTGACTCACATCCCTCCCTCTGATTCCCACCTCCATGCCTTTCATGCCTCTCAATCCTCTGCCTCTTCCGCTCCCTCTCCTCATGCTCTCAACACATCTTCTCAGTCCTCTCGCTCTTTCCCTCGTTCCCACTCTTCTTTCTCTTCCTCTCGGCCAAACAACTTCACCCCTTGACCCACACACTACAACTCCAACTTTTCTCGCAAACCAAAATGCCAAATATGCTCCAAACTTGGCCACTCTGCCCTCACATGCCGCCAACGCCTAAATATGGCTTTTCAAGGACCTACACCACCATCTTCCCTTACTCAAAACACCACCCCCTCCATCCTTGGCCCCTACAACCCATCTGCCTCTTTCACCTCTTTCGCTCCTCCCTCAACCTCTACCACCACTTGGTATGCCGACTCTGGTGCCACAAATCATATCACCAACAATCTTGCAAATCTCTCCCTTCCTTCTCCTTATCAAGGTAATGAAAGTATCACTGTGGCAAATGGTCAACACATGCCTATCTCTCACACTGGTAACTCTACTCTTTTTTCCTCTACCTCTTCTTTTAAATTTAATGACATTCTTCATACTGCAAATCTCTCACACAACCTTCTCTCTGTCCATCAGTTTGTTACTGATAACAATTGCCACATTATATTCACTCCTTCTTCTTGTATTGTCAAGGACAACAACACGGGGACAACTCTCTATCAAGGCCCTACTGAAGGACATCTCTACCCCATCAAGCTTTCAACTTCTCCATTTTCTCTCACATGTTTCAGCAGTCAAGTATCTTCCACTTTATGGCACCAACGCCTTGGCCATCCCAACTATCAAGTCCTTATGCAGCTCATCTCTAGCAAACAACTTCCAACCACACCTACATCTGCCACTTTATCCTTTTGTTCCTCTTGTCAATTAGGAAAAAGATCAAAGCTTCCTTTCTCTAAATCATCATGTACTACATATTCTCCTTTGGAATTAATACATTCTGATTTATGGGGACCCTCTCCAGCAGCTTCATTTTCTGGCTTCAAATACTATATTATTTTTATTGATGATTGGTCCCGTTTCTCATGGCTGTATCCACTTCACAATAAGTCAGATGCACCCCATGCCTTTAAAATTTTTAAAACCTATGTCGAAAACCTGCTTGACAAGAAAATAAAAACCCTTCAATGTGATAATGGTGGTGAATACACAAGCTCAGCATTCAAAACCTTTCTTTCTACTCATGGCATATTTCAACGATTTTCTTGTCCCCATACACCCGAGCAAAATGGTTTGGCTGAAAGAAAACACCGCCACATTTTAGAACTTACTAGGACTTTACTTGCTCAGTCTTATTTACCTTTACAATTTTGGGTTGAAGCTGTACAAACCTCGGTATATCTCATCAATAGAATACCGTCTTCTGTCCTTCACAAAATTTCCCCTCTTCAAAAACTATTTCATAGCAAACCTGATTATTCATTCATGCGTGTCTATGGATGCGCATGTTATCCTTGGCTAAAACCATATGCCCCTCACAAATTGGCTTTTCGAAGTCAACCATGTGTCTTTATAGGCTATGGTATAACCCACAAAGGATACAGATGTTACAATCCAGTCACTGGTAGGGTCTACATTTCTAGACATGTCATTTTTTATGAAAGTTCATTTCCCTTTCACAACAACTTTCCCCTGCCTCAATCATTCTCTAATCCTACGGTTTCCAGCACTCCAACCTTACTTCCTCTACCCACCTTTTCAACAACCATCCCTCCTTCTCCTCCACCCTCTTTCCCTTTTCACATACTTACTCACACCCCCCACTTCCCCCCCCACCCCCCCCCCCCCCCCCTTCCCTCCTGCACTCTTCTCCAGCTCATAATTCTCCAACCATTCCTTCCTCATCTCTACCTATCAATTCCTCACCCACTTCTCCATCCACAGACCCTTCATCTATCCCACCAAATATGTCTATCCCTATTCATATTTCTCCACCACCCCAACCTATTTCCACCAATACCCATCCAATGGTTACAAGATCCAAAACTGGGTCTCTTAAACCACGAGCTCTCTCCACCAAACATCCCCTTCTTTGTGCTTTGTCCATCACCACCCAAATACCAACTCCCACTACTTTCAAACAAGCCTCTAAAATCCCTCAATGGCAGCAGGCAATGCGTGAGGAATTCAATGCTCTCCAACAAAACCAAACTTGGACCCTTGTCCCCTTTCATCCTTCTCAAAACCTCATTGGATGCAAGTGGGTCTATCGTGTGAAATACAAATCTGATGGCTCTCTTGACAGGTTTAAAGCAAGACTTGTGGCTAAAGGTTTCCACCAACAAGAAGGTTTAGATTACAATGAAACATTTAGTCCCGTTGCTAAGCCTACCACCATCCGGCTCATTCTTTCTCTGGCTGTCCAAAATGACTGGTCGGTTACACAACTGGATGTCTCCAATGCCTTTCTTCATGGCCACCTTCAAGAGGATATTTTCATGGTGCAGCCCCCTGGCTTTCTTGATTCCTCCAAGCCTCAGCATGTTTGCAAACTGAAGAGATCTCTCTATGGGTTGAAACAAGCTCCTAGAGCTTGGTATGAGGAGTTGTTTCACTCTCTTCTCTCTCTAGGGTTCAGTGCCTCAACTGCTGACACCTCTCTATTCATCAAGGCAGACACCTCTATCACCTTTGTCCTTGTCTATGTAGATGACATCCTTATTACAGGTAGCTCCCCTTCATTCTGCAACTCTCTCATTTCCCAACTTGGTCTTCAATTCTCTATGAAAAACCTTGGCTCCTTGCATTACTTTCTTGACATTCAGTTTCACCGCACCCCCACCTCTCTTTTCCTTTCCCAATCCAAATATACACTTGACCTTCTTACCCGTGCCTCTATGGTTGATTGCAAGCCTTGCTCATCTCCAGCCTCTCTTACCAAACTTGACATTGAATCTGGTATGTTGCTACCTGACCCTACCCTCTATAGATCACTAGTTGGTGCACTTCAGTACATTACTTGGACTAGACCCGACATTGCATTTGCCGTTAATCAAGTGTGTCAACACATGCATACGCCTAGAACTCCCCACCTCATTGCTGTTAAGAGAATTTTGCGGTATCTCAAGGGTACTCTTGATCACGGCCTCACCTTCACTAAAGGCTCTTCTCACATCACTGCCTACTCCGATGCTGATTGGGCTGGTTGTCCAATTGATCATCGTTCTACGACTGGCTTTTGCATTTTCTTTGGCAATAACCTTGTCTCTTGGAGTGCAAAGAAACAAAATTCAGTTTCTCGCTCATCCACAGAATCTGAATATCGCTCACTAGCCCACACTGCTGCTGAAATCTCTTGGCTATGCTCTCTCCTCAAAGATCTCCATTTCTTCTTACCTCAAGCCCCTCTCATTCTCTGTGATAATACGAGTGCTTTAGCCCTTGCTGCTAACCCCATTTTTCATGCACGCACCAAACATGTGGAGGTCGATTACCATTTCATTCGAGAACTGGTGGTCAATGGCCTTATTCAAATTTCTCATATTTCCTCCCCACAACAGTTAGCAGATATCTTTACCAAGCCTCTTCCCAAAACACAGTTTCGTCATCTCTGTTCCAAGCTAATTGTTGCACCATCCAACATTAGCTTGAGGGGGGCTAATAACCATACACAGCTGTCCATCACAACCATTGATGCAGCACCACAAAGCACCATTCAAAATGAAGCCTCAAGATTGAATCGTACATGCCAGCATGCACCAGCTAGCAAAGACCAAATATGACTCAACATATGCTCAGCATATTCTCCTCCCAAACGGTTACCTTGAGCAAAAATATAATACAAAATCTTCTTTATTGTCTTCTCTGCCTCGTCTTTATCTCTGCATTCCTTTTCTCTTTAGCAACTTCTCCATATATACTCGGTTATATCTATGGCTTATACTTTTGACTTAATTATTGTTCTTCCTTGTAGGAGTGAAAGAAAGCTCATTGAAAAGATTGTTGAATGGGTGTGGAGGAAAGTGCATCGCACATTCAAATTGTCAGATTCCACAGAGTTAGTGGGAATTAAGTTTACACGTGAGCAAAGGGATTTGCTTTTAGATCCTACAGATGATGTTCGTTTTATGGATATGGGTGGAATGGGCAAGACAACCATAGGCAAAACAACCATTGCAAAGCGAGTTCATGACAGAATATGTATTCATTTTGAAGTTAGTTGCTTTCTTGCTAATGTTAGAGAGGCTTCTGAAGGTAATCGTCTTGTTGATCTGCAAAGACAGCTTCTTTTCATTAAGAATTGCTTATGTAATAAAAAGATTCTTCTCATTCTTGATGATGTGAATGAATCAAGCCAACTAGAGAAATTTGCTAAGGAAAAGGATTGGTTTGGTAAGGGGAAGATAATCATGATTACAACTAGAGATGAACGATTGGTAAAAAAGCATGATATGAGGATATCATATAAGGTAAAGGGATTAGGTGATGATGTTCGCTTTGTAGGGATATGGGGAATGGGCGGCTTTGATAGGACAACCAATTTCATTTTCCCATTCTCTTACTCTGTATTTGATCTTTACACTCTTGCACTACATACAATCCGTTATTACATGTGTATTTATATATATACATATATATATATGTATGTATGTATATTTGAAGTTACATGTACATGAAATGAAATGCGCTGGACTGTCTTGTTCTATGTACACACATGTTTTGTCGTTTCTTTACCCACAATCTCCGACACATTTGTAAAAGTACTTCATTATTAGTGGTAATTAGTCATGGAGATATTGGTTACATATGCTTAGAATCTAATTTTGAATAAGTTTAACTTGCTCATAAAGTTAATTAGTGGTATGAGTCATGGAAAGTTTGTTGTTTTATGTATTGTATTTTGATGATTGTAAAGTTAAAGGAACATATTGGGAGTTTGAATTTCTTTTTTTCTTTTCAGGGAAGAAACAAGCAGATCTGTTCTTTCCTCCAGATTTTGCTGATGATTTCCCAGTTGCCATGCAGGTACTGAATTTACTAATGTTTTGACTAATCTTGTATAATATGGTACATATGTTAATAATGAATTTGTTAATTTGGCAGATGTCTCACAAGTACAGCTTGATTTATGTAATTACAAAGCTTGGGCTACTGTTTGTGTATGATTTAGAGACGGCTAGTGCAGTTTACAGAAATAGAATTAGTCCGGATCCAATCTTCTCGGATCCAATCTTCTTGACAACAGAGGCTTCATCAGTTGGAGGGTTTTACGCGGTTAATAGGCGGGGCCAGGTGTTGTTGGCTACAATTAATGAACAAACTATTGTGCCTTTTGTCAGTGGTCAGGTATGTTTGAAATATTTTTCTCCTTTCTTGTTACGGTGTTCCAAGTAGCATGTTGTGCTTAAGATGCTTTTTTTGTTTTAATTTGCAGTTAAACAATTTGGAGCTTGCTGTCAATATGGCTTATACTTGTGACTTAATCATTGTTCTTCCTTGTAGGAGTGAAAGAAAGCTCATTGAAAAGATTGTTGAATGGGTGTGGAGGAAAGTGCATCGCACATTCAAATTGTTAGATTCCACAGAGTTAGTGGGAATTAAGTTTACACGTGAGCAAATGTGTAATGACCCGGTCCTAAATAAATTGGTGAATATTAATTTATTCAGATAAAAGGACAATTTTGCCCCTAGAATATTTTGTGAGGTTTAGAGTTGACTTTTTGATCGGGATGGAATGTGGAAATGTCAACAATACCGTTGCGTAGAGCGCGGTGAGATGAGTCCGTAGACACGTAGTGGGCTCGAATTGGAGTTGTGACGAGAGAGATACGATCAAAATACCCTCAGTGGCATAATCGTAAATATTTCGAAATGGATTTTGAATAAAATCTGAAAACTCTCTCTCTCGGGGGTGCTCTCTCTCTCCTCCGCGCGACAGCCGTCGCCCTCCTCCCTCGCAACTCCGGCCACCGGCCACGGATGCGGACGGGACCGGTGCCAAAATGACCGGCTCAGCCCCGGTGTCATGACCCGGCCCTTCCCCGACATCGGCCGCCGCTCCAGTCGCCGGAAAATGCAGGTTTTTGGCCGGTTTTCGCTTGAAACTTCGCCGGATCGATCTCCCTCCTCCGGCCACCGTTTCTGGTGATTGAGGTATGGATTTCCACCTATTTTCTGAGCTCTGGCTGCCTGTTGGGTAGAAATTGATCAATTTGTAGTGTAGGCAACTCGATTTACGAATTGGATTTCGGCCGGTATTGCGATCGCGATTCCGGCCACTTCCGGTCAGTTTTTGGGGTACGTCCAAGAACAAAAGTGACTCCAAATTAGGTGTATTACCTAGGGTAGGAGTCTTGGCTCTCGATTTGGAAGTTTTCCGGCGATGCGATATCGCTTTGGACACCCAAGCGTTGCCGACGCGTGTGGCGGCGCGTGGGCACTGTAGCTTGGGGCATTTTTGTCCCAATGTGATCCCCTTGATGTCACGAGCACGTAGGATTTCGCGGATCTAAATTTGGATACCGTTAGAGCCTCGAACGGATATCGCATATTGCGCATTTTCCGGGTTCGCTAGGTTTGGACCGTTGGATGGTCCTGAGGTTTTAATATGTTGATCTAGGCATTACTAGGGTCGTGTAGGATTCGACGGATCGTAAAACGGAGTCCCGGATACTCCGAAAATGCCAACCCTGGGGTTAGGGTTTTAGTAACCGTCTGATCGTCCGATCGTGAGCGATCTGACCGTCCGATCCGGATCACACTTGCAGGACGTGTGTCCTAGACCTTGTAGGACCTATAGGAATTGTCGGATCGGAATTTGAAGGTCGTGGACCCGAGGGCCCGTTTGTATGGTGATTAATTGGGGGTTTATCGGATGTTATATCTTGGGGTTGAGGTTGATGCAATAGTGGAGTATATTTAAATATATATTATTATTTGATAAAGATGCTTGAGGGCACTATAAGTGCCACCCTGTGAATTGTCGTTGAGGTGCTTTTATATATATATTTTTGTATGTCTTTATAAAGGTATGAAAAGAGTATAGATTGTTAGTTTGCAGTGCTTTACGCACTATCTTAAATACCTCCTCGGTTATGGGTTTTATGTTTGAGATTTAATTTGCCCAGGCCCGTCGGAGATTGATTTATTTTTGCCCAGGCCCGTCGGAGTTTGTCCAGGCCCTTCGGATATCTTCTTGATACGATGCCTTGGAAATGACGTGTTAATGTTTCCATGTGTTTTTATCTGATTTAGAATTATGATAGATCCGAAAGGTATAGAGGTTTGGAACAATTCAATTAAGGAAGAAAATATCATTTTATAATGTTGTGATAAGGGTTACGAACTCCACCATCATACGTACCTTCCCTGGTTACTATTCACACACGTGCCGTGTTTCGGGCGTGTGGGCTTTCTTGGTTACGGATCCTGGAATTGTGGGATGCCGGGAATATTATGATATGGTTTGGATATGTTGAAATACGGGGCATCCTTGATGAGATGTTGCCGTGGACCCTGAGGGGTGGTAGTCTGCGCGCGTAGGACTGTTTACAGGCGTACGGGTCTTGATTCTTCGTCCGTACGTGCTGGGCTGAGAGTTAGTCCCCCAGTTGGACGGCTCGTTCCCTAGTCACATGGTGAATTGAGGAATGGCTCTGCCATGTTGACTAGTCAAACAATCCCCAGTTGGATTGTTTTCCCTAGTACATGATGTACATCATCATATGTACTTCCCCTGATCTGCATTTGGTTACGAACATTGGATACTTTTGGAGTTATTAGAACTCAGGACATCCTTGAGGGGATGTTGCTGTGGACCCTGGATTTGGGGTAGTCTGCGCGCGTAGGACTGGTATTTCAGGCGTACAAGCTTTGACTGTGTCGGCTGTACGTGCTGGCTGAGAGTTAATCCCCCGGTTGGATGGCTCGCTCCCTAGCCACATGGTGAATTGAGGAATGGCTCTGCCATGTTGACTAGTCAAACAATCCCTGAATTGGATTGTTTTCCCCTGGTACATGATGATGGTGAGAGGTGGGTGTGCTTATTTATATATGTTTATACGTGGATTTGTTTCTGGATTTCTATATGTTTATATGTTTATATATGTTTATTCGTAAGGTTGTGCTTTGTGATTACCCTATATTGTTATGCATGGTTTGAGTCCCGGATTGGGGAGTAATGGGTGGCAACATACGCCTTGGATAGGGTATGGTTGCAAGTTGATTTGATAAATTGATCGGTGATAAATTTGAAATGCATTTGTTGGTTCTGCTTTAAATAATTGTATATTCGGAGATGTGACCGTTGATACGAAAGAACTACGTGTGGCTTGATCCCTCAGTAAGGGTACGTAGGCAGCCTGAAGTAACTAGGCGCAGCCGCGGGTTAAACTCTAATGATGTGTTTTGTTGAGTGTGATGCGGACCTTGTTGTTGGTCCTGAAACTCGTTTGAAATCGAGGTATGTTTAGATTTTTGTTCATACTCCCGGTTGGCTAAGGGAGGGTTGTGTATGTGTACTATTGATTAAAGTGTGTGATATAATGAGCTGAGGCCCTGGAATAAATGGTTATAATTTATAGATGATAATTGATGCATGTTAAAACCTCGCCTGCTGGATTGGGGAAAGTTAATGGTGAGTTTTGCTTTCGGCAATTATAAGTGTGTTTGAGCTCATTCTTGCCGTGTTTAAGGAAATTTTTTATCTCAAGACTTTGTTGGCAGCTCTTTTTCGGAATATTTGAAGGCCGGAGGCAAATGAGATGAATTGCATGAAATTATATTGTGCGTGCTGCCGGTTGGGTTATAAAACTATGTTTTATGCAGGTGGAAATTTTGGGAAATGTTCAATTTACAGGGAAGATTCTGCCGAATTTTCGGCAGAAAGTCTCATGCCCTTACTCCTTTTGAAGAAGGAGGTTACCATTTTAAGGAGTGAACCTGGCATGGGTGTGATGTCGGGGTCTCCGCAGGATTCATCTCGGGTTTTGTGAAAAATTCGGGGCGGGTCCTGTCAAAATGGATTTGCTTTTATATCCTAAAGATGATGTTCGTTTTATAGATATGGGCGGCATCGGCAAGACAACCATTGCAAAGCGAGTTCATGATATCCATCCGAAGTTAGTTGAACGTAAGACCTCATGATATCCACCCGAAGTTAGTTGAACGTAAGACTTCTGGTGTAGGGATAATGCTCTTGACCAACTGTAAGGTCATTATTTAATAGATTATACTGAGAATAAATTTAAAATGATCTAATTGCTTGATTAAGGCCCTTAGTGTTATTTTGAAAGATCAAATCATTACTATGATGCCAAATTTTCCAACATATGGTAAAGATTCCTTCAACAAAAGAAAAGACGGTGAAACCTAATGCCATTGGGACATGACCCTCTACATTAGTAGGTGGGGATTTCATGCCAAAATCTTGTAAAATGGACCAGAATTGTTGTGCCTAATTACAATCCTGCATAATATGATAAAGGGATTCAATAAAGTTATGACAGAAGGCTAACATTGTAAATTTGCCAAAAGGTTAGGCAAAAAAGAAAAAAAAATTGCCGGAAGGGAAATCCTTGATGCTTTAACTAGATGTCGATATTATTGATTGATCGACTTACCAAGAAAGCATCTATTGAAATAATACAAATTTATAAATAAACCCAATCCTAGACATGTATTTATAAAAAAACCCAAGCACTATTTAAACATAGAAACACACCCAAAATCAACCCCAAAGTCAACTTTTTGGATGTGTTTATAAATGAGTTTTGAGTGTGTGTAATGATGGGTTTTGAGTGTGTTTATATATTTAAATAGTGCTTGGGTTTTTTTATAATTTCAACCCCCATTTTGGGTGTTTTAGTGAAACTCCCTTGAAATAATGGGCCTAACAGTCAAAAGAACTGTCTGAAACTCCTTCCTCTTCATTGAAAAGCAAAAGAAACCGTGTGCTCTCACTACTGTAACTACACGGTTTCCAACTTACTCTCTCTCTCTCTCTCTCCCCCTAACCATGTGCTCTCACTACTATAACTACACGGTTTAGGGAGCTGCTTTAACTGAAGTTTCCGAAATTATCAAATTGTGTTTTTTCTTGTTTTTGGTGTCATTTGTGGTTCTCAAAGTTAATATGCATGCTCACAAAAACAAGGACACAATATGATAGTTTCACAAAGCTCAAGGATGTTTTGTGATAATAAAAAAATCTTTTTTTTTATTACCACTATATTCCGTTCATTTTAGTGATCCCAATTTTCCAAAGAGGGTGATAAAAGTAAAGGTAAGAAAGAAAACACATTTCAGAGAGGAAACTTTCATGAAATTGTATGTTCCTTCCTTTGGGTGGAAAGTGTCGTCCTTTCTCTTCTTGTTTTCTCAAACTTTGTGTGTGGTGGGTGTGTTCAAGTCTTTCTTTTGTATTTTTCCATGCTTCTCATTTGCTTGTCTTTTTGTATGCAAATATTGGTTTTGAATTATTTGTACGACGATTCTTTGGTAAAGCTGGGTGAGGGTGAAGAGAAATCATGTTCTCCTCAAATTAAATCTCATATAATGCCTGGCCCCATCCCATTGCAGACAACATGTGGCTGTAAAGAGAAAGGGACCGTGTTCACTACGCTGTTCTCTCTCTCTCTCTCTCTTCCATTATTTTTCTTTCCCCTCTCTCCT